ATCATTCTAATCTAAACCATTCAAAAATGATCCAATGGTTGATGATTCTTACCCTATCAGTAGGGTGTAATCACTGCCCCTACAATAGACTTTCCCTAACTTTATATGTTAAACATAAACCCACTCCTCAAAGCTTTATATGCTTTTTTAAAGTAAGCAACTCTTCAAAAATGCTTGCAAGTTATTTTTTTTTATATATATATTTTTTTGGGACAGAACAAGTTGATTTGCTGACAAGTCTGTTTTGACGAAGAGATTTCATTGTCTTTTGTATAACCGACCAATTTATAGACAAGAAAGCAAACCTACCAAATAAATATTCTTTTAGGTGGATAAGCTTGACGCACATGAAATACTAGTCAACAACTTTTCAATTTATAGGCCGTGATCTATCCATGGAATTTAGCACCAAAAAGGCTAGAGGATCAAATTATATATATATATATATATAAAAGAATCAGATTTATGTTTAAAGAATCAGTGCTATTTTTTTTTTTTTCACGTAAATATTCACACGATCAATGAGGGAGAAAGGGATAAATACATTTTATAAAAATATTCATGGTAAATAGTATATTTATGCTAAATGATTCATTTAAAAAGCATATTGAGGGTGATTTGTAGAAATATAAGAAAATTATTAAACGTAGTCTTAAAGTGCGTGAATCTGAATTTTACGCATTACATTTAATTAATACTTTTTAATGACTAATTTAGTTATTTAATTATAAAGAATAATTATAAAAAATAAGAGATAAAAATCTAAATCTATACACTTTAACTTATATTTGTCTTCTTTTCTCATAAAATTTTACAATAAATATCTTAACATATGTTTTTTATCATAAACATTTTAAAAAATAACGGGTGCGTTTGGAATTGGTTCCAAAATGATTTTGTTTTCTGTATGAAAATAGAAATGAAAACGTCCTCATCAAGGATCTTCTGAAACATCTCAACCCCAGTAACTGTGGTGCTCCTAGTCTCTCCAAGCCCAACTATATCCACAGTGTCTCCAACCTTGACAGTTCCTCTCTCAACACGCCCTGTCGCCACTGTCCCGCGGCCGGTGATCGAAAAAACATCCTCAATCGCCAAGAGGAACGGTAGATCGGTTTGCCTCTGGGGAATTGGAATGTAATTGTCAACTTCATCCATCAAATCGTAGATTTTATCAACCCACTGATTCTCTCCCCTCTTGATTTTGGGGTTCGCCATTAGAGCCTCTAGAGCCAACAATGCGGAGCCGGAGACCATCGGAACCTCGTCGCCGGGAAATTCGTAGGAGGAGAGAAGATCTCTGACCTCCAATTCGACCAGTTGGAGAAGCTCCTCGTCGTCAACCTGGTCCTGCTTGTTCAAGAAGACGACCATGTTCGGGACGCCGACTTGCTTGGCGAGCAAGATGTGCTCCTTCGTCTGCGGCATGGGGCCGTCGGCCTCGGAGATGACGAGAATCGCGCCATCCATCTAAGCGGCGCCGGTGATCATGTTCTTGACGTAGTCGGCGTGGCCGGGGCAGTCCATGTGGGCGTGGTGGTGGTTCGCAGTCGTACTCTACGGTGGCGGTGTTGATGGTGATGCCGGGGGGTGCAGTCGGGGGTGGTGGGCAGTGGAGAAGAGAGAGAAGAAAAAAACAATGAAATCCGTTTTCAGAAAAAGAAAACGAAAACGAGAAAACGTTTTTTTTTCGTTTTCAGTTTTTCAGAAAAGACAAAAACGTTTTTGTTTTTGTTTTTTAAAAATTTTTACACCAAACACATTTTATATTTCCGTTTTCATTTTTTAGGGTGCAGTCGGGGGTGGTGGGCAGTGGAGAAGAGAGAGAAGAAAAAAACAATGAAATCCGTTTTCAGAAAAAGAAAACGAAAACGAGAAAACGTTTTTTTTTCGTTTTCAGTTTTTCAGAAAAGACAAAAACGTTTTTGTTTTTGTTTTTTAAAAATTTTTACACCAAACACATTTTATATTTCCGTTTTCATTTTTTAGTCTCGAAAAATGTGAAAAATAGAAATGAAAATGGAAACAAACAGGGCCAACCTATCTCCTATTTCTTTAGGGCATCCTTGTAGTTAATACAAAGTATAACAGAAATTAGCTGCTGCTACTTCTTCTTCGTGTTTTATCCTGTTGAGTTTGTTGATTCGAGTTTTTAATTTGAGTTGAGATGTGATTTTATGTGAGAGCTTTTTACTGTAGCAAAAAAGTTAAATGTGACTGTTTTTGAGAGCTAAACTATAGCAAAACTCGAATTTTAAACTCGAATTGGTGAAATGAACGGGGCTATTATTTTTTCGGTTTGATGGGGGGATGAAACAAAATAAGTGAAAGGTTATAGAAATGCAATATTGCTCGATGCTAATTGACCGAATATATAGGATCCATGCAAATATAATTACGTTATAATACTAATATGATAACTAATATAATAACTAATATTTTGGCGTTCTAAAAAAATAATTTTTTGGGATTAAAATGCATTAATTGCTAATCCACGGATATGATCCAAGCAAAGAGATAGTTAATTAGATTCTAATGGGATTATTTCTCTTTTTGAAAATAAAAAAGCAACGAAATATTTTTGTCGGCAGTAAAAAAAAGGGAGGAGAAGACAAAAGAAAGTTACAAGAAGGCAACCCTCGTTCACTTCGCTGATTCGAGTTGAGATATGATTTTATGTGAGAGCTTTTTACTGTAGCAAAAAAGTTAGATGTGATTATTTGTGAGAGCTTTTTACTGTAGAAAAATTCGAATTCTAAACTCGAATCAGCGAAGTGAACGGGAAAAGACTGGACAAAGCAGCCTACCCAAACTTAATAATAATAATATAATAATAGTAATAAACAAAGTTATGTAAATTATGGTGCGTTTTATATATAGATTCAGAATCATAATTTTAAATTTTAGTTCAGAATTAATATTTATTTACAGTGATTTTGGATCATGATTTTGAATTTGAATGATTCTAAATCATGATTTAAAATCTGATGTGATATTTTAAACTAGTTCAAAACATAATTATAAAACCACCATTTCTTGATTTAAAGTGATTCAAACTCCTGATTCTGAATCATGGTTTCAGAATCATGATTTGAACTTGAAATAATAAATTATGATTTAGTTTTAGAATTATGATTAAATTTAAATCTTCGTACCAAACGAATCCTTAGTTATTTAAATCTTCAATTACAATTGATATTAATTAACTTGTTTTAAAAAAAATTGTGGCTATAGTTATATTATTGGGCGGTTAAAAGTAATGCCATCATGCCACCTTATCTTTTAGATGAACTGATGAAGTGTAATTTATTTTTGCTGAATCTTTTGGATGAAGTGTTTAATTGGTGATGATTGGGACGCATTCTTATACATATTCTGCCTTTAGAGTAACGAAAAAGGTATGGACAAGGTGCTTTAAGATAATCTTTTTCTTTAAAAATAAAAATTGAAGGGCACTTCTTTTTTTTGCTGAAATAATTCTGCTATACTTTTGTTCTTCAAAATTTTTTGGTGGAATTTTTGCTTCAAAAATTCTGCTATAGTTAATATGACATAAAACCTCACATGATTTTATGGTCTCGTTCACTTTGCGGATTTGAGTTTTCAATTTGAGCTGAGATGTGACATTTTTTGAGAACTTTTCACTGTAGCAGAAAAAGTTAGATGTGATATTTTCTGAGAGTTTTTTACCGTAGAAACTTAAAACTGAAAACTCGAATCGGTGAAAAAAAAAATCATGTAATAAATCACAATTTTGACATTGTTACACATAAGCGGAATGATACCTAGATGCCTTATTTTTTTTTATTTTTTGTTTTTTTTTTCTCTAATGGATCTACCATTTTACCAGAAAGAAAAAAGAAGTTTACGAACAATAATCATATTGCGATATTGTTTCAAGTTTTTATTTTTCAGAATAATATTGTTTTAATTTGGGAGTTAAAATTTTCCTCAGAAAAAGTTTGAAAGCTATATTCTCCAAAAAGGACGCCATCTTATCCAAAAAGGAAAGCGTTACGTTAGAGTATATTATTTATTAATGGAGTAATGTTTCAATTAAATTTTAACATCTATAAGTGAATCTACGTTAAAAAAAAATAGCGCACCCTTTGCAAATAAATCTTTTCACTCTAAACATAAAAACTTAAACAAGCGTCTAAAAACGTTTCTTTGTTGGCGGAACAAAACAATGTGCCTTATAACAAATTTTTTCCTCTAAAAAATAAGAAAAATAAAACTCATTTTCTTGAAAAAAGAGTTAAGAGAAGTGCTTCAAATTGTGTCCACTATCAGACTTTGAATCTATGTATTAAGACGCTAACGGATCTATTAATTTTAATTTATTGTATTAAATTTTTTTGTGGGTTTTATGCTTTGTTGTTAATAAAATGTTGCTTTATATATTAAAAAAATGGGGTTTCTTTATTAAGATCAAAAAAATAAAACTATCGGTAGTTTTATTTTTTTTAATTTTTTTCAGCTGTCAGATCTGTATTAAAAACTATCTATTATGCATATTTTTTTAATCTCATTTAATTTTAATCAGATTTAATAGTCAAAAAATTAGTCTTACTGATTCGACAACCTATCGGAGTCGGTCTCTAAAAAAACCTTTGGAAATAAAAAAAAACATCTCTCTTTTACGGGTTTTTTTTTATAGAACTGTCTTCGATCGGTCAACCTACTAGTATGACACTATGACCAATTTTATGATCGATGAATATAATCAAAATAAATAAAATTAAAAAAATATATAAAATATATAATTTTTGATATAGATTTAACATTAAAAACAGTTAAAAAAATAAAATTATTAATAATTTTATTTTTTTAATCTTACAGGAGAATTTTATTTTATTTTATTTTCTGAAATCTCTTTTGCGGTTTCATTACACAACTTTGATCCTCAAACCAACAATTGGCTTGAGCTTTGGACAACACAAAAACAAAGGCAATTTCTTTTTTCTTTATTGCCACCTCGTCTTCCGCGTTTCCGACTCGGCTGCTTTCATCTGAGTGCGAATTTTCTCACTCTCTCTCTCCTCTCTCTCTCTCTCTCTCTCGCTCAGAGGAAAACTGGAACAAACGAATAGAAAAACTCTCTCGCTCTCTCTCTCTAACTCTTTCTCCATAGCTAGGGTTGGGCTGAGAGAGAAGGAAGCAGAGCAGCCATGGGAACCGCTCGGAGACAGCTCAAGGCCATGCTTCGCAAGAACTGGCTTCTCAAAATCCGTCACCCTTTCGTCACCGCCGCCGAGGTTTCTCTCTCTCTCTCTCTCTCATTCATCTTTCAGCTTCTGAGAATTCGAGCTTCATTTCTCTTTCAATTATGCTCCGTTACTTTCAATTTCTATCGATATTCTACTCCGATCACTGGTAATTCAGAATCGTTTCAAAAACAACCTTTCCTTTTCCGTTCTTTGTGGAATTTTAATGCCGCTTGCAATTCTTTTGAGTTGAAAGTTTTCTTTTTTTGGCGTTTGAAGAAGAGTTGGTATAGAAATGTTTATAATGAGATGCTTAGAAGTTTGAAAATGTGAAGCCTTTTCTTCTCTGGCAGATTTTGCTTCCTACGGTGGTTATGTTGTTGCTAATAATAGTGAGAACTCGTGTTGATACTCAAATTCACCCAGCAGAGGAGTAAGTCTCCAACCATCTCTCCTCCTTTCTATTGTCTCAAATGCATTTTTTTTTGAAAAACAAAAATTTGTAAATCTATGTTCCTAGCTTAGAGAACTAAAGATGAGAGAACAGAACATGAAAGGTTCTTCTTCTTCTTTTTTTTTTTTTTTTGCCGGTTGAAGGTACAGATGGTTCCATGTCGTTTGATTATACGGAACTTCCATATATTGATTGATTTAGTTTTGAGAAATATTTCCTCTAGAGTCTGAAATGATTAATAAATGCTATAGCAGCTATATGGAGGAATGTGGCTAAGAATGGAAAAAAAAAGTAATGCCTTGTGTGGCTTATAGCATTCAATCATTTTCTACGAGTATTGGTGATAAATTTTAAAAAACTGAGACAGGTATGTTCGAAAAGACATGTTTACGGAAGTGGGCAAAGGAATGTCCCCTAGTTTTGAACAAGTTCTTGAATTACTATGGAGTGAGGGAGAGTATCTGGCTTTTGCACCTGATTCAGAGGAGACGAATACGATGATTAACTTATTGTCGGTGAAATTTCCCCTCATAAAGGTAACCTTTGTTATTTTTTATTGTTCTTTCGCTGTGATTCTTTAAAATTTAAATTATGTTTAATGTTAGATTTTCTATGCATGCAAGCTCATATAATATATGGCTTTGAGGGCTTTGGCTTTTTGGATTTATACTTTCAATTGAATCTAATAAATGGCTTTGGCTTTTTGGTGTGTGTGTTGAGTGTTTTTTTTTTTTTTTTGTTTTTGTTTTTTTTTTTTTTTTGCATCTTATTCAAGCAAGTTCGTGTAATTGACATTTTGTGACTTTATATCCTTGGTAATTGTCTTTTTGAATTGAATCTTATTTTTGCTTCTACTTACAGCTAGTTAGTAGAATTTACAAAGATGAAGAAGAGCTCGAAGCCTACATTCGTTCAGATGCTTACGGTACCTGCATTCAACTCAGGTAAGATGCCAATGGATTTTCAGTTGTCTGTTCTATTTGTGGTATCACTCCGTCTTATGGATTCAAAATGTGCTTCTGTTTTTATGTTAAATATGCATATGTGTACATTAATTGGACATTATTTTTCATTTATAGATTCTTTCCATCATGGCAAAATGATCTGTCATAAATAGATAGTTCAAAATTTTTGTACTGTGAATTATTGTTCAGAATATACACGATACAAGTTTTATTATTCATTATGTCATCTCACTTTGAAGATAATATAACTGCTTTGATTTGCCTCTAATGCTTTTAAGTATTTGTCTGAAAAAAGGAGCATTCATGTAAATATGTAACAAATTAAGTTTTAATTTTCCTTGGGCATTTGGTATCAAATTTTAGGGGAATTTCAGATTTGTTGGGTGATCTGAAGTAGGGTACTGGTGTTTTTCAATGGTGGTTTATTGATCAGAAGTAATCATATTAGAAGGCAACTTTGGATTGTAGCTTCACTTGCCATCACTCGAGCATTGTGGCTAGAGACGAATAATTGAATTTTTGAGGATGTAGAGATTCAGAGTTGTGAAGTTTGGGTAGAATTTAGTATTCTGATGCTTTATGGATTTCTAGGCAAAGGCTCTGATGTGTTTTCATTCTCTGATTTGTTAAGGGGCTCGGATTTGTTTTTGCAATGATTAGGAGTCTACGATTTTCAGATTAGCAGCTTCTTGGGCTAGATCAACGTTATTAGTTCTACATTTTGGTGGACTCCTTGTCCCCTGTTGTACACATACTTATGCTTAATTAACAAAGATTTATTGTTTCTTATAAAAAATATTGTTACAGTTTAATATGAACTAAAATTATATCTTATCATCACTCTAGTTTATTAAATTTTAAAACTAGAATACATTTCTTTGTGTAAAGTGATCGACACGTGTCTGAATAGTGTATGTGTACTATGGAGATCCTAATGTCGGACGTTAGAGTTTAAACTATTTGGTTCCATGAGAGTTGCATTATTATATTCAGGTTTTACCACGTAATGACTGAAGGATTCTCTTTGTCTAGGAACTGTTCAAATCCTAAAATCAAAGGAGCAGTAGTATTCCATGATCAAGGCCCGCACGCATTTGACTATAGTATACGGCTCAATCACACATGGGCTCTTAAAGGATTTCCTGATGTTAAATCCATTATGGACACAAATGGTGCTTATCTTAATGACTTGGAACTGGGCGTTACTCCTATACCAATAATGCAATACAGCTACAGTGGATTTTTAACTGTATATTTCTGTGTCTTCTCACTTTTTGGGTCTCTTGTACATGTTTTAATATTATTTTTTGTGTGCCCCTTGTCTTTGTTTTAATTTGCACATATATATGTCATAGCAAGAGCTATCCATTAGGTTGCAAGCTGACTAAGAAGAAGAAAGTGTTGATACAGGGGTAAAGGTTATATATGTATATATTTTATATAGTTTAAACTCATTTTGAGTTTGTATGTTGAGTAAATTATTAGGAAAAGTTGATCCAGCTACTCAGCCACTCATAAATAAGATTTAAGTACCAGCAGTAATATTAGAGGTGGAAGTGTCTTTAAACTTCATGGAAGAAGTAAATGCTTCAGTCTCTCTATGTGCTACTAAAAAAAATATTATTTTGAATAAAGTATTAACTTTTTTCAGCACTAGTCATGAGAGGTCTACAATCCGTATTGCTTGCCAAATATCTTATTATCATAAGTACTATCTTTTACCTCTTGTGAAGCTGTCTGATATCTATATGTATATTTTTAAATGTTGTCCTCCTACTGCAGCTCCAGCAAATTTTGGATTCTTTTATAATTTTTGCTGCTCAGCAATCTGAGAGTGGAACTTCTCTCCATTACTCTGATACACCTTCATTTCTCAAAGTTCCATGGATGCAATTTAGTCCTTCTAACATTAGAATAGCTCCTTTTCCAACTCGTGAATACGCTGATGATGAGTTCCAGTCGATCACCAAGAATGTCATGGGTGTATTGTATGTTTCCCTTGAATTCATTTTGTGTCTTTGTAATTTTCCCTTTTTTGTTAATTTTTTTAAGTTTTATTACAGGCTATCTTTAAATCTGAAACTTGGATGTGCAGGTATCTTTTGGGTTTTCTCTATCCGATATCTCGTCTGATCAGCTATACAGTGTTTGAGAAGGTTTGATAATGATTTTGAATAGTATAATTGTCTAAGAGATGTCACCATGCTTTGTTGACTCCCCACGCCTTACTTCCTTTAATGTGCAGTCTCTCGTCTCCCTAAATTTATTGAATGTTGATTTATGATTATTCAGGAGCAGAAGATAAAAGAAGGTCTCTACATGATGGGGCTGAAAGATGGCATATTTTATCTCTCTTGGTTCATCTCGTATGCTTCTCAGGTAGATTTGTCTCGAGTAAACCCCATTTCATTACACAGGGAAATTTCCACTTGTGTTAGCTTCAAATTTTCAGTTATTTGGTATTTATGTTGGAAACTCATGATCCTTTTTTTTTTTTTTTTTTTGATGTCGTTCAAGTAATTACACAGAAACTTGGGGAGTGGTAATGATCAACTTATGATGATTGAAATAAACCAATTGTTATAAACTAAAAGGGATTTTCTGATCGATTAATAGACATTTCCTTTTCCTATAAATAATAATAATAAAAAACTAAATGGGATTTAAGGTCTAAGCTTGAGATGAAGTTTCAGATATAGTTTGGACAAATGTTTAGTAAGATGTGTTATGATCAATAAATAATAATAATAAAAAAAAACTAAATGGGATTTAAGGTCTAAACTTGAGATGAAGTTTCAGATATAGTTTGGACAAATGTTTGGTATGATGTGTTATGTCACACTTTTAGAATGTGTATAAAACTTCGTGAAATGCAACTTTAAAACTACATCAATTTTGACAATTTAGTTCTACTAATGTCTGCTCTTTGTTGATTTGACTGCACATGAGCATTACTTAATTTCTTTTGTCCAGAGGTCCTTATCTTGAGAGTTTGATTTCTTCTGCAGTTTGCAATTTCTTCTGCAATCATTGTGGTTTGCACTATGGACAACCTTTTCAAATATAGTGATAAGTCATTGGTGTTTACTTACTTCTTTCTGTTCGGACTAAGCGCGATCACACTGGCTTTTGTAATCTCCACATTCTTTTCTCGAGCCAAAACAGCTGTTGCAGTTGGAACCCTTTCTTTTTTGGGTGCCTTTTTCCCCTATTACTCTGTTGACGACCAAGCTGTTTCGATGTAAGTACTATCATCTGAGAAAGTTGTGTTGAATCTCTTTCTTTTCCTTAAAAGTCAACAGTTTACAACTGCATACTGATTTACGTTTTTACTTCAGGATAGTAAAGGTTCTTGCTTCTCTGCTTTCACCTACGGCCTTTGCTCTAGGGTCAATTACTTTTGCTGATTATGAGCGTGCTCATGTTGGACTTCGTTGGACCAACATATGGCGAGTATGTCCTATATTTAGTGGGTTTCCCCCTGCTGTTGTAAAAGTATTAAAATCTACAACATTTGTGTCTAATTTTTGAAAACAATGATTTCTGTAGGCATCGTCTGGGGTTAATTTTTCAGTTTGTCTCCTTATGATGCTGGTTGACACGTTGCTCTACTGTGCAATTGGTCTTTACTTGGATAAGGTATTATATTTTTTATGATACTCATGTTAGTCTTCTAATTTGTGCTGATCTCTCTCATCCAGTCTCTCTTTCTCTCTCTACTTACTGTTAGTTCTTGGGCTCCTTTGAAGGGAGTGGTTCTTGTAATTTGTAATGTAAATTTAGCAGACAAAAACGTATAGGAAATAGAACTTAGTTGAGTTTGAATCATGACTTGGTGAATGTTGATAGAATCTGGTTAGGAATCATGTGAATTAGGAAGGTCTAGAGAGGAATTCGATCTGTAGAAAATAGGGTTTTGAGTGAAGGAATCCGTGATATTATTTTGGTAGATGATAGTTTCCTTTTTAGTGTAGTCAACTCTCTCTCCCCTCTCTCTCTCTCTCTTTTTTTTTTTTTTTTTTTTTTTTTTTTTTTTTTTTAGAGAGAGAGAGAGAGAGAGAGTCTGTATGCTTAAAAAAAAGCAATGCAATAAATTATTTTCTTCATTTCGATTGTTCGAAATTCTTTCACGTATTACTGGATGCCAACTAAACATACTGGAAATGGTGATTTCATTATTCTTTTTCCCCCCTTAAAATTTAAAAAAGATTAAGAGAAAATAGCTATTGAAAGTAAATGGTTTATATACAGCTTGATCCAGAGGGTAGTTATCTCAATTAGTAGCTACTTTTTTTATTTATAACACGTGAGTACAATAATCTCTCTGATCAAACAATTAGTGTATATATCAAGCCTATTTGATTTCCATATTTATTTGTCTGTTCAGGTCCTTCCCAGGGAGAATGGCATCCGTTATCCATGGAACTTCATTTTCACAAAGTGCTTTTGGAAAAAGAAAAGCATCGACAATTATCACACTTCCACTCAAGTTAATATTAATCAAAAGGATTCGGAGAAAAAGAAGAATTTCTTTGGGAAAGATAGTTCTAAACCAGCTGTGGAAGCTATCAGTTTGGACATGAAGCAACAAGAGCTTGATGGCAGGTACTTGTGCTTGAAATTGAATGTGTTAGTATTTGTAAATTTTGTTCTGTAGTTGAGTGTTTCCTCACATCTTTTATTTACCCTAGATGCATTCAAGTAAGGAATCTGCATAAGATATATTCCACGAGAAAGGGGAAGTGTTGTGCTGTTAACTCACTACAACTCACCTTATATGAAAATCAGATTCTTGCACTTCTAGGTGAGGCTTTTATTACTATTGGATGTTTTCTATGTTCATCTTACAATGGTCTTTCCTTTATCATTTTACTTTTTTTTTGAGTTCGATCCTTGTCGTGCCATGACACACGGACATATTAAATGTATAATTCTCTCATTGATTGCTTAAATAGCCCATATTTTCTTTCTCTTATGGTCTTTTCTATTTTCCTTGAAAAGTAACCATCCATTTTTTTTTTTTTTTTGGGATAAAAAGCAACCTTTTCATTGATAAAAATCAATTACAAGGAAAAGGTGATCAAGGAATCCGCCCATTCGTTTTGTTTAAAGAAAAAAAATGTAAATTAGAGTTCTACAGATTAATAGTTGGAGGTATGAGGATTTATATTTTTGGCTGATTGAGGATTTCTATTTTGGCTTATTACTGTTGGTTGATGTATTTGGTTATTGCTTGTCTGTTTCTAACCGACATGCAGTTACTTTTAAATATTGAAAAGTTATTTCTCTTCCCACTTCTTGTGCAAAAAATTGTGGGTGCGTTTGTTTCAAGGGTTCTACATAGTTCAAACCATGGTTCTTGGTTCTGCTATAGTGTTTTTCTCACAAAAAAATTTAAATTTCAAAAGTCAAAATCATAAACCGTGGTTTGAACCCATGAAACCAAGCAGACCCTATGATTTTTTAATAAAAGTGCATGTCCATTTCTCACATTCCTTGTATGGTTTCTTGCTTGACCTACTACTTCTCTAGGTAATGTCTAGTTCGGTTCCTCATACTTCATATTTAAAGTTGTTCTAGTGTAAAAGGAAGCATGTATTTCCAATCTCAGGCGCTCTTCAAACTTCACCTTAACATTTTTAGAGGGAGCTCTCTTTCATTTTAAGCCCGCATTATCTTTAGTGATAATTTTCAATTGTCATTTCCCAGAGTGCAGTAGCTTCTTAGCAAACTTCTCTTTCGAGTTTCAACCTTTTCCCAAACTTGCAGTTGTATGTTTCTCCAGAATTTTTGGTGCATTAAGAAAGACATCCCTTATCAGCTTCTGCCTGCTAGTGAAGATTAACATCTCTACAAAGTGATCTATAAGGGAGACTGCTTATAAGTTATTTGAAACCTGAAGTCTGAAGATATATGGTTGCGTTTTCTATAATGCTACAACAAAAACTAGGGCAAGAAAAAAAAACCTTTTTTGTTTCGGCAATCTCTACAAAAATTTTCTTTCTTAATATGTACTTTTTATTCGGTTTACTGATTTTGAGTTATCAATTCATAAGGACATAATGGAGCTGGTAAAAGTACAACGATTTCGATGCTTGTTGGCCTTGTTTCTCCTACTTCAGGGGATGCTTTGGTGTTTGGGAAGAATATTATCACACATATGGTAAGTTATGTTTTTTGTCCTTATCCTGTCTTCTTTGCTATTATTGTATGGAGTTCTGTATTCTAATATTTTTCTATTAAATATTTTATTCTAGATACCTGTTTATTTATTATTATTGTTGTTGTTGCTGTTTGATGGGAAAAATTATCCAAAATTCCATCTTTTCTAAATGAGTGGTGGGATAGGTATTCTTCTGCTTGCATATATATATAGGTGCGGTTTTAATGGTTACTCTAATATTTACCCATATGTAGGTATCGTTGTTTAAACCGTGTGATATGGATTAGAAGTTTGTAATAAATTGGGTTGTTGATCAAAAAGTTTATGGCAATTAATGAGATTGGATTCTTAGCACGCCATATCATCAAATATTATTAAAATATGCCCTTATTACAAATGTAACCATTGCAAATGCACCCATTGAAAACTGGTCCTATTTCTTAGTGTAGTATACAATTTATCCTCACGCTGTATTCATTACTTGCATAAGGATTTAGCTCATGCCTAAACTATGTGAGGCATTTTAGATGTTGACTTTTTAAACAATTTATTGATAAATCTTTCTAATCTTTCATATTAGTTCACTTTGGGCTAATCATTTCTTATTAGTTTATTTGGATACAGTTGAATACAAGTGTGCTATTGTGATAATAACCTGGGATCTGTTCTGCAGGATGAGATACGGAAGGGGTTGGGTGTATGCCCTCAAAATGATATCCTTTTTCCAGAATTAACTGTGAGTTAGAAGCATGATTCCCTTGCTATTCTATCTAATGTTATAATGAACTTGACCTTAGTTAGAAGGTGACTTCTCTGCCTAACTTTGATGATTTCCATACCCAGGTGAGGGAGCATTTGGAAATATTTGCTATACTGAAAGGTGTTAAGGAAGATGTTTTAGAGAGAGTTGTTAGTTATATGGTCGATCAAGTGAGTTCTTTCTTCAATGTCTTGCAATTTTGGCTCTAATTCTCTAACAACAGTTAATTTTTGCAACTTTGTAATGGAAATATAATCCCATATATCCTCATCTGTTTCTGGTTTGTGATGCCTAGCCTTTTAAACATGTGACTTTGTGTAACCAAAAGTATTTGCAATCTTAAGCCAATCTATTGCAAAGGTTTTGCTAATTTTATTTGCTTCTGCAGCTTGAATTAAGACATGTTTCAAATTATTGGAATTTGTAGTGTAGCATTTTTGAGCAGCCTCATGAATTTTTTCTGTGGATCGTTCAATATTTGTGGATTAGATAATTTTTTGTCCGCATCATTTTGTGTTCCAAGACATGGTACCAAAATGTTGAAATTGGTCAAGTTTTAGCATAGACCACTCCCTGATTTGTTTCTGCTATGAAAGTGGCTCATTATTGGTACCATGTCTTGGAAAAAGAAATGGCTCATTATTAATTTTGACAAAGAACATCTGACAAAATGCTTTGATATATTGATAAAAAACTTCCCGCCACTCAGCCTATGACTAAGGTTGTTTCGGTTGCTGTTAAATCTTATGGCAGGTTGGGTTGGCTGATAAAAGTAGCACTCTTGTGAAGGCTCTTTCTGGGGGTATGAAGAGGAAACTGTCTCTTGGTATTGCGCTGATAGGAGATAGTAAGGTTGTTTGGAAAGGAAGTCATATACTTTATTATTATTATTATTATTATTATTATTATTATTATTATTATTATGTATTTATTTATTTTTTTTAATCCCGGTGTGAATTTTAGTGGAATTGTTCATTGCTTTCTCTTGCAGGTTATAATTCTTGATGAACCTACCAGTGGGATGGATCCATACTCAATGCGTTTGACATGGCAGTTAATAAACAAAATAAAGAAGGGCAGGATAATATTACTGACAACACATTCAATGGATGAAGCTGATGAACTTGGAGATCGAATTGCTATTATGGCTAATGGTTCCTTAAAGTGTTGTGGAAGGTTTAACTACTGAACATAATATTTTCTATTCCCCTGCCCACATAACCAAAAATATTTAGTATAAAAACAAAAATAACGCTAAAAGTATGTATGCTTTTTTGTACTTTTGCTCTTGAATAGTCTAGACGATTTATGCATTAACCTGCAGTCCGTGTTTCACGCCATGTAGCTGTATACATAATTCTTCTCTTCTAGTTCTAATTTACTGTTTTCATATTCCTTATCTATTATTATTATCATTATTGTTTTTTACTAACTATGATATTCTGTTCCTTTGTAGTACCTGGTTTTCTACTTTTTTCTTGTGATTACATGTTTATATTAGGTTAATGTTTTTGCAATATCTAGTTCTAGTCTTGGGTATCAGATTTTTCTAGCCTTGGATCTACATTGCTATGTTGTTTTTATTGGGGAAGAAAGCAATCGTAATAGGTTTATAATTGAAGTAATAAAGATAATCTTACTCCTAGTAAGTGCGTTATTCCATTGATTTTTGCTTTGTGTCCACACACACACACACAAACACAATTTCTATGATTGGAAAATATATGAATTTTTACTTTGAATACCTTCAATAAGTCTTAGATTTGAAAATATTAGCATGTTACAGTTATCCTCATTGCTGTGTTCATTTTTTTAACAGTTCCCTTTTCTTGAAGCATCAATATGGTGTTGGTTATACTCTAACTTTAGTAAAGGTTTGGTCCCTATCTTGTCTTTTTATTTATTTATTTTTTAATTCACATTTAATGTGTCACGAATGATGAAATTTGGAACGAATTTTTTTATTATTTGTATAATCGGTATACACACTTATATTATACACGGCTACGGGCTAAATAATAACTAAATCAGAACAACCTATCTACAAATATCTCTTAACCAGAAAATATACAACTCACTAAATCCCTAAAAGTTGGGGATCACACAATATAACAACCTATCTACAAATATCTCTTAACCAGAAAATATACAGCTCACTAAATCCCTAAAAATCGGGGATCACACAATCACATAAATATCTCTTCCTATTATTAACCGTATCTCACAACACTCCTCAAGCTGATGAATGGATAGCTTCCATTCCAAGCGTGCTGATAATATTCTAGAAGACAGTACTCGGCGGTCCCTTTGTAAGTACATCAGCTAACTAGTCTTTGGTTGAAACAAATGTACAGATTAAGCCGCTTTCCAACTTCTCCTTTATAAAGTGTCGATCGACTTCAATATGTTTTGTTCGATCATGTTGTACTGGATTGTGTGCAATGCTTATGGCCGACTTGTTATCACAATACAATTTCATTGGTCCTTCCACTTTACACGTAGATCATCCAGAATTATTTTGATCCACAATGGTTCACATATTCCAAGCGCCATTGACCTGAATTCTGACGCCGCACTTGATCTCGCCACCACACTTTTTTTTATTCTGTCACAAGATTGCCACCTAGAAATTTGCAATAACCCGAAGTTAACTTTTTGTCAACTAAAGAACCTGCATAACCTGCATTAGTGTAGGTTTCTAGTGTCACGCTTTCTCCTTTCTTGAACAGATTCCTCTCCCAGGATTACCCTTCAAATATTGTAGAATCCTGTGAACAGCATTGAGATGCATTTCTTTGGGATTGTGCATAAATTGACTAACAACGCTCAAAGCAAAGGCAATATTTGGTCTCGTATGCGCCAAATAAATTAATCTCCTAACAAGTCTCTGATAAGAACTTCTGTCTACCACAGTATCTTCTTGAGCATCACATAACCCATGGTTGAACTCGATGGGTGTGTTAATTGGCTTACACCCTAGCATTCCAGTCTCCTTCAATAAATCTAACTCATACTTTTGCTGTGATATAAATATTCCCCATTTTGAATGCGCGACTTCAATACCTAGAAAATATTTTAACCTTCCAAGTTCTTTGATATCAAATTCCTTTTCCAGACACTTCTTTAAGCTTTGCATTCCTTCTACATTATTGGCTGTCACTATAATATCATCTACATATACCAATAATGCTGTCACTTTCCCTAACTTCGAGTGCTTCACAAACATGGTATGATCTCCTTAACTCTGTGTATATCCCAATGCCGTCATCACTTTTGTAAATCTCTCGAACCATGCCCTCGGTGACTGTTTGAGCCCATATAGAGCCTTTTTCAACTTGCACACTATTCCTTCTTTGGATTCAAACCCTGGAGGAACTTCCATGTAAATTTCCTCTTTGAGATCACCATGTAAAAAGGCATTTTTAACATCAAACTATTGCAAGCTCCATCCAAAATTAGCGGCCAATGACAGAAGAACCTGTACCATGTTCATTTTTGCAAACGGGGCAAAACTTTCAAGGTAATCTATACCATAGGTTTGAGTGTAGCCTTTGACAACCAACTTGGCCTTATACCTCTCCAAGGAACCATCTGACTTATACGTAACAGTGAAAACCCACCTGCATCCTACTAACTTCTTTCCATCGGGTAACCTGACCAAGCCCCATGTTTTATTCTTCTCTAGAGCTTCCATCTCCACTTTCATAGCATTCTCCCACTTCTCATTTCCTAATGCATCGAATAGGTTTCTGGGAATGGGAATTGTTTGTAGGCTACTCAAGAAGGCTCTATGACTCAGGGATAGGTTTTTATAGGACATGAACATGTATAATGGATGGTTTGTGCAGGTTATAGTTCCTTTTCTAAGGGCAATTGGTAGGTCATAGTCATTTGGTTCAATAGATTCCTTAGGACCCAGTGACTGTGTGGTGGTCTTAGCGAGGCTTGGTGGTGGTGTGGTTGTTTTGGCAAGGCTTGGTGATTGTGTAGTGGTTTCTGCATCACGGATGGGTGAGGAAACAACAACTTGAATAGGTGATTGAACATGCACAGGTTGGGAGATTTCCTTTTGCTTCATGGAATAAACCTGTAATGGCCGAGTAGTGTTTTGAGTTGGTATTGACTTGACAGATTTAGGTTGGATAGGAACAAGAATTGTCTCAATTGACTCAGTGGATGACTGCTGAACAGACTCGGTGGATTGAGATTGACTCGGAATATCAAGAAGTAATAAGTCCCTTTCCCTATCTTCACTCAAATTCTCCCTTGAAGATAGGAATGCGAAAAATATGACTCACTTTCATTAAAGGTGACATCAGCAGAAACAAAGAACTTTCTTGTGGGCGGATGAAAACATTTGTACCATTTTTGAGTGGATGAATATCCAATGAAAATACACTTGAGAGCACGTGGATCAAGTTTTCCCCTGTTTTGAGAGTGAATATGAACAAGGGCTACACTTCCAAAAATTCTGGGAACAAGATTGTTTGAGACACAGAAGGTATATCCACTTCACACGAGTACAGTCATCAATAAATGATACAAACCACTTAGCACCAGAAATATTAGCAACCGTGGATGGTCCCCAAATCTCACTATGGATAAGAGTGAAAGGAACAAACGTTTTTGTATTACTTATTGGAAAAGAAGCACGCTTGTGCTTGGCAAGTTCACAATCACTACAATGAAAATTCTTAACAACTGACCCTTTGAATAACGAAGGAAACATAAGCTTACGAACACTAAATGATGGATGACCTAGACGACGATGATAAAGCCAAATCTTGTGTTTATTAGAAATAACTGACTCAAAAAGGAATGAAATGGGTACGGAGCTTTCAACTCTAGTACAACCATTTTGTTCTTCCAGATAGTAAAGTCCATCTCTTTCACTAGCATGTCCAATCATCCTCTTTGTGCCCTGTTCTTGAAACTTACAATGAGAAGGATAAAACATCACACTGCAATTTGAATCTTTGGTGAGTGTTTGGATTGAAACAAGATTTATAAACAGTTTGGGAACATGGAGGACATTTTTCAATGTGAGTGAGTTGTTTATATAAACATCTTCTTGTCCGGCTACAGTGGTAACAGAACCATCTTCTATGGTTATTTTCCTATGACTAGAGCAAGGGATATATGAGATGAAATTTTTGGAAGAGCAAGTCATATGGTCGGTGGCACCGGAATCAATTACCCATGTGTTTGGAGAAACCATATCCAAGACATTAGCAATACAAGAGGATGAAGATATACCTGAAAATGCTAATGAACATGTTCCTACCGAGGATGGTTTTTCAAGAGATCTCAAGAAATTCCTCCACTTCTCAATTTCTTCTTTATTAAATTCAGGGGTTGCATTCTGTGGTGGTCCTTCACTGCTTGAATGAGTGCTGACAACATGAGCTTGTCCCCGTTCATTTATATTCTTGTCTACAAAATTTATGTTCATGTGTGGTGGTTTTCCATTGAATTTCCAGCACTTTTCCTTAGTGTGACGATGCTTCTTGCAGTATGTACACCATAAGGAGTCCTTGTTAAATGGTCTTGATTCAACAGCCTACCTCGGTTCTTCATTCACACGCTGTTCCAAGCCAGAAAACTTAGCATTTGCAGCCTTTGACACCAACGCAGAACTTTCCATTGTGTGTGATTCAATCATGACACCTCTTATGCCTTCTTCAGCAAGAACGATTGTGATTGCCTCATTTAATGACGGCAGATCCTCCTTTCTGAGTATCTGTACTCGGACTGCATCAAATTCCACATTCAATCCTGCAAGAAAATCTTAAATCCATCATTTTTTCAACGAATCTCTTAAGATGGCTGTATCATCGATGCACTTCATTTGAATGCACTGATAGTGATCCATCTCTTGCCAAAGATCCTTCAAGAGATTAGAATACTCCGTAACTGACCGATTTCCCTGCTTTGTTGCTGAGATCTTGATCTTGATTTCATAAATCTGTGCAGCATCATTTACTTTAGAATAAGTTTGTTTGACAGCCTCCCATATCTCCTTTGCTGTGCCCAGACACATACAAGTGCCACTGATTTCTGGCTGCATATTATTCCACAACCAGGACATTACTAGGGAGTTTTGTTTGTCCTAAGCATCAAATATAGGATCCCCTGATTTAGGACTACTACCGAGTAGGTGCTCAGTTTGCCTCTTCCCTTAAAAAACATGCGAACCAATTGAGACCACGTCAGATAATTCTTTCCATTGAGCCTATACTCTGCTTGAATATTCTGCAAATCCCCTGTTGACTGATGATTGTTCTCAGTCAGAGGATGCAGGCACCTATGTTGATTTGCTGGTCACTTCTGACATGACTTTTGGATAGAAAGGTCACGAATTTCAAGGGTGATAAAGAAGGGGAACTACAGAATCAAGAATCAAACTCGCGAAATAAGAATTAGCGAGAAAGGAAAGAAAAAAAAAATGACACAAGCGAGCAGCAATTTGGACTGAAATGAACGCTTGAATCAGAAACAACACTAGGCTGAGAAAAACCGAATACCCCAGGAAAAGCCTTAGGGCTCTGATACCATGTCACGAATGATAAAATTTGGAATTAATTTTTTTATTATTTGTATAATCGGTATCCACACTTATATAATACATGGCTAGGAGCTAAATAATAACTAAATCAGAACAACCTAGCTACAAATATCTCTAACCAGAAAATATACAGCTCACCAAAGCCCTAAAAATCAGGGATCACACAATCACATAAAAATCTCTTCCTATTATTAACCGTATCTCACAACATAATGGTTATCTCTTTTGGTGTTATGGGCATTGACATGCTTTGGCATTACTGCTTTACTACAGTCTGCACCCACTGCCTCTGTAGCTGCTGACATTGTTTATCGCCATATTCCATCGGCAATGTGTGTGAGTGAGGTATCCATTTTTTTCTTCTTTTGTTGATCAATAGACTCGGTGATTTCTTTATCAGATATGCTTAGTATATCTTACTTACCTTATCAGCATTATCCTTTAATAAAGAGCCATCATTGCCACGTACAAAAAGTTTTTAACATTGGCATGCTGATCATTTGCAACAGTATACTTAGCTATATTATGTTCAGTTTAATAAGTAGAGTACTAACTAAATAAGTTTCAATTGTCGAAGTTAAATTTTGGTTATTAAAGTACTTAACTAAATAAGGTCAATTGTCGAAGTTAAATATTGGTTATTAAAGTACTTGGAAGAACTCAGTACCAATCTCTGATTATATACCTTTCTGCTGATCTTGACCTTTCTGTAGGGCTCATTAAGGTAAGCCTTTCTCCAGATAATTGTTTAAATTGATAGCGGATAGGGAAGGGAGGCATGTCTATATGATAACATGATTATTAATTTCATGATTGTACATCACCTGTAAATTCATATGCTACCTTGTATTACTTATTTGATAGTTTTGCTTACTCGTGGGATTTAACTTGCCTTTCCAGGTTGGGACTGAGATTTCCTTCAAGCTTCCTCTAGCATCTTCATTTTCCTTTGAGAGTATGTTTAGGGAGATTGAAATGTGCATGAAACGATCAGGTTCCAAGTCAAAAACAAATGATGATGAAGAGAAAGACCCTGCTATTATTGAAAGTTATGGTATCTCTGTCACAACTCTTGAGGAGGTATTCCTCAGAGTTGCAGGATGTGAGTACGATGAATCTGAATGTTTAGAGCAGAGAAGTAGTCTCCATTTACCTGGTCCTGTGACTTCTCATGTTTCTCTTGATCCTGCTCCTAAAAATCTTTGGCATTCGGACAAACTTTTTGTGAATTGCAAGTATATTCTTGGGTTCATATGTGCTGTAGTGGGGAAGGCATGTGGGTTGATTTTTGCCACAGTTTTAAGTTTCATAAACTTCTTGAGTATGCAATGTTGCAGCTGCTGTATCATTTCAAGATCAACATTTTGTCAACATTGTAAAGCCTTGATTATAAAGAGGGCAATATCTGCTCGGAGGGACCGGAAAACAATTGTTTTCCAGCTCCTGATTCCTGCAGTTTTCTTGCTTATTGGACTTCTTTTTCTCAAGCTCAAACCGCATCCTGATCAACGGCCCTTGACCTTTACAACCGCTCATTTTAATCCTTTGTTAACTGGTGAAGGGGGTGGGGGTCCTATTCCTTTTGACCTATCCTGGCCTATTGCAAAGGAGGTGTGCTAGTCATCATTAATCTTTTGTTATATTAATTTTTATTTCTTTATGCAGATATTGGCTTTTCTTCTCCTTTTTCTTTTTCTTAATGTTATATGATGCTTACCTTTGCGCTGAAGAAATAAGCTTTTCCTGTGAAACTTCACTCTGATGCTTGCAAGAGTTCCTCCTCTTTAAACATATCTATTGTGCAGGTAGCACAGCATATCAAAGGGGGTTGGATTCAAATCTTTAAACCCACTGGATATAAATTTCCTGACTCAGAGAAGGCACTCACTGATGCGATTGAGGCTGCAGGGCCAACTCTGGGACCAGTTTTACTTTCAATGAGTGAATATCTAATGTCTAGCTTTAATGAATCATACCAGTCAAGGTGTGTTGGTCTAATTTATCTTTTATTGTAATTTCTAAGATGTTGCTGTTATTTTGTCTCATGAAAACAAAAGTTATGTAAGATTATGCGAAGTCAATTTACATAGTTTTTGAAATGGTACTTTCAGTATTAGTTTGTTCACAACTTTAAGAGATTTTACTGTAGGCTGGTGAAGGCTCTTGGTTGTGGTTCTGCTTGGGTGTTTAATCAATATCGTCGTATTTTTTTTTTTAATTTTTAATTTTTAATTTTTTTGGTTCTTTGTACATTCTTCTCTTTTTCCCCTGGATGGATCTCTCATCCATCCAAAAACTTCATTTGTAAAGTTCTTGATTTATTAATGAAGTTTTGTTTCTTATCAAAAAGGGGGAAAAAAAAAAAGTGTTGAATGGTGATGATATGTAATAAAGTGAAAAATCTGTGTTTTCTAGGCCCGCTATCCGTCACTTGTCAGTATGTTACTTGTTTTGTATACTGGTTGCCTTAATATCCAAATGTTCAGAGAAAAAAAAAAGCCTTGAGGCTTTTCCCTTTACAACATTACTACCTATCTTATGGTAGACTACAAGCTGTATTCGTATGTAGCATTTTTTTTTTTTTTTTTTTTTTTTTTTTTTTTTTTTTTTTTTTCCCCCCCGAAGGAATTGGTCATTTGAAAAAGAAATTATAAGCAACATGAGAAAGTTAAGGGTTCGCGCTAGGGTGCATTTACTGGTTGTGAGTTTAGTTTAGAAATTTGTTTTCATGATGGATGTAGCTTTCCTTTTTTCAAAGGTGATTTCATTATGGTATCTGTTTGTCTGCAGGTATGGGGCAATCGTGATGGATGATCAGAGTGATGATGGAAGTTTAGGATACACTGTACTTCACAATAGTTCTTGTCAGCATGCTGCTCCCACTTTTATCAATTTGATGAATGCTGCAATTCTTAGGCTTGCTACACATAATACCAATATGACAATTCAAACACGCAACCACCCTCTGCCAATGACGAAAAGCCAGCATCTGCAACGTCATGTAAGTTATTCCATTCTGTTATCCTTTTCTTTTCTTAATAAGAAACAAGAGTTATTAAGAATTAAGAGGAGTTTGCACTGTTAAATTCAGTTTTGTTTTGGATATAGGCTGCACAAAAATCTTTAAAAGGTCTCACGTTCTTGTTGAGGAGTTTGCACTGTTAAATTCAGTTTTGTTTTGGATATAGGCTGCACAAAAATCTTTAAAAGGTTCACGTTTTTGTTTTTTGTTTTTGTTTCAAAGTACTCCTTTTAGCTTTACTTTCAACTGCTGAAGCAATTATTTGGAATGTTAGTGCATGTCATATAAAAACTGTAGAGTTACGGAATCTAAGAAAAACTAAAGAAAAAGACTCTTCTATCCCATCAAGGCATCCTAATAACATACATGTGCTAATTATCAAAGTCCTTTTCCCCCCCAAATTCCAAGTCTGCGAGTTTGGTTTTATTTTTCAGAAAAGTCTTCTGAGTTTTTTTAACATCATAACATATTGCCCCTCACCTACGATGATTTTTTTATTTCTTTATGAGGTTCAATAAGAAGTTAAAAAGGATACATGAAATTCATACTTACATTTGTTTTTGTTGTTGGCCTCTTTGTTTTGTTTTGTTTTTTGCTTTTTTTTTTTAATATTATTTCTTTATATAATCTATATAGGATCTGGATGCCTTCTCTGCTGCAGTTATTGCTAGTATTGCCTTCTCTTTCGTTCCTGCTTCATTTGCCGTTTCCATTGTGAAGGTACTGTCTGAAATATACTTGTTCAACTCTTTACCAAAGATGCTTCGTGAATTTCTGTATTACTTTGCAATAGGCAGCAGTTGGTTCTAGTTTAATCTATTGCCTTACTTCTTTAATGTCACTGGATTTTTGTAGATATGATCTCCCAAGGAACACCACATCTATTCTGTGCTATTTACTCTTTGGGCTAGTCTATTATTTTTATTACTGTTATTAATTTTCTTATGTTATGTATCATGGAAAAGTAAATTCATTGATTTGAACTGATGCAGGAGCGTGAAGTCAAAGCTAAGCACCAACAACTGATTAGCGGGGTAAATTAATTTTCTTGAAAAAGAAATATTCTCGTGTCCTGTATATTGGTTTTTATGTTTCCAATATCCATATCACGAGGTTCAAAATAATGTCTTTGATCAGGTTTCTATACTCGCATACTGGGCTTCTACGTACATATGGGACTTCATCAGCTTCTTATTTTCTTTCTCTTTTGCAATAATTCTTTTTAACATCTTCGGTAAGCGGAACTTTTAAATCTATTGTATTATATTTTTGTAATATTATTATTTTCTTGCAAAGAGAGTTGAACTTCAAACGTTAATTCAAGAGGAAATAGATACTTTTGCAATTTGCAATGAATTACTAAATTGCTAGTTTTGCATATTTATGTGTGTGAGAATATGAGACACATATATAGATATTCATCTATTTGCATCTAAGATATTTATTGACACATTTATAATTCAGTTATAAGATGGTCTGTGCAGTGTTAAATATTTGAAACAATGCGTCAAATAAATACCCTTGCCATCCTATTAGCTATTTTGCAATTATTATTTATCATTTAGGCATTTGAAGTTATGTTGAAAACATTATCTCTGTCCATGATGAGGTCTGTCGATATCAACAATCATATATTCTCTATAAGCAATAGGACAAAAGCAGCCAAGCGTTATCATTTTGTATTTATTACTAGATAGCAGTTGTAGATTCTATAAAATCCAATCTGTCTTCTGTCTCAAACTGATCTTATACTACTGCGAGCCGATTTGAGATGTTTTAGACGTCTCCTACAGATGTGTCTGGGAAAATTGTGAACTTTGTTTTCTAGTTGGCTATTAATTTAAACATGTAACAGAATTGGAGTGAGTACCTCAAAAAAGAGACCAAGGGAACTTCCCCTTTAGGTTGATGATTCACCTCATGTTTGTTTGGGTGAGGAGAGGTGAAGACTACTTACTTTTTCTAGTGTAGTCCTTATGTGAATACGTGTCTATATATAGACACATAAACACATGTATGTGTCTTATGCACTTTTGGATGTCTCGAGTATTTTACTGCATCGAAGTGGGATCCTAATATGCATCTCAACATAACTTTTATGCTCTAAGTAGCAGACACACCATACGTGGAGTCTTCTTTCTATTCAAACTTCCATTAGTTGGAAGTAGAATTAACATGTTGTGAATGCTTTTGGCTCTACTAACACTTAGATTGGGAAGGAAAGCTAGCAATTAAACCAAAATTAAATGATCTTTGGATCCTCATTCTGCTGATCCAGAAACTATAATTATTTAATGTTGCTTAAATCATTTTTCTGCTGTATGTCACTGTTAGGTGTAAAGCTTTTTATTTACCATTTCTGTTAGTTACACTACATCTTGAACTTATGTAGGTCTTGATCAGTTTATTGGAAATGGACGTTTTTTGCCAACGGTCATTATGTTTTTGGAATATGGACTTGCAGCTGCATCATCAACGTATTGCCTTACATTTTTCTTTTCTGACCATACTATGGCTCAGGTTGGAAATTTTTTACCCTTATTGACTTGGAGGCATTTGGCATATCAGGTTATGTTTTCATGGTTTTAAAGTTTTTTTTTTCCTCTTGCAGAATGTAGTTCTCCTGGTCAACTTTTTCACGGGGCTCATTCTTATGATTATATCTTTAATAATGGGGCTTATTAAGACCACAGCAAGTGCAAATTCTTTTCTGAAGGTTGTTTCTTGTTTACTTCTTTTTTTTTTCTTTTTAAAAAAAAAAAAAAAAAAACTACTCTGTGCACCACCATCAGAGTTAACGACTCTGCACTTGGATGACCGGAATTCTTTCTAAATTGGTCTTATATAACTTTCTTTCCAATGATTTCTGTACAAAAGCAGGATGCAGTATAGTGTATTGTTTTATACAAAATTCTGCGATTCCTAATATGTAAATCTTCTTTGTAATCTGTATTTTTCCAAACTCTTTTTTTTTTTTTTTTTTTTTTTTTTTTTTTTCATTTTTAACTTCCCCGAGGAATTAATTTCAAAAAAA